ATCGATTTATAATTTTATTCAGAACCTCCATCTCCCGAACAACCGCCAAGACTTTCTGATTCACAATGCCAGTGGTACTGCTGTTCTAGCTTTGAAAGGACGTCGACCTAAAATCGATGATTCCCAAACTGTTTCCATCCGTCCATGCTCGATTCGGTTGCAAATTTCAAACCGCGACGCCGTGCAAGTGCGCTCCAGTCAACAAAATTCAATTTTTTTTTTCAAATTTTTGCAAACAAAACGTATACACAAGTGTGATTGATTAAAACAATTTGTAAAAGCAACATATAAAGCCACAAGAAAAATCTATAGAGGGATCATCAAAGAAAACGGTCATTCATCAGGCGCGTAATTATTATGGGGTGAGAACGAAACATGGAGAGAGAGAGAGAGAAAAGGAAATGTCGGTGTGTCAGAATGTGTGCAAAATATGTGTCAAAAAGAAGAGTATGAGACAAGGGGTGGTATTAATATGCGTAGGGTGGATTTTTTTTTGGGGCCAAAATGAAACAAAAAAGTGTGTGCAGCAAAAAATGTGTTAGCGAAACCGAGCGGAAAAAAACCACACACCAATTCAAGGGGTTAGTACGGAGCATAGCGACGAAGCGCGGCGGCGGCGGCAGCCGACGCTTGCTGGTGGAGGTGTTGATGGTGTGGATGGTGGTGCTGTTGGGATGCGGCAGCTGCGGCGGCGGCATGGAGACTAGAGACAGCGGCATTGGATAGCGATTGTTGGAGGTATGGATCTCCGATGGAGCCAGTCGGTGGCAGTGGTGGTGGTGGATGAGAGCTGGCCGATGACGCTGGTGGAGCTCCGCGAGCTGATGCGGGAAGGGCGCGACCTGGAAATTTAGAAGTTTGAATAGTTGCATTTTAACGTGGTGGCCCAACTTTTCAAATTCAGTTTTCTAGGCCACAATGGTAAAATGGACCTGGAGAACTCTGCTTGCAAACATTAGGCCATTTCTAGGCCATTTCATCATGGTGGCCTAGAAAATCTAAGTTGCAAAAGTTAGGCCACCATGCTAAAATGACCTAGAAATCACACCAGATGAATATCCGATCAATTCTAGGTCATTTTATTATGATGGTATAGAAAATCCACTCGAAAAAGTTAGGCCACCAGTTCAATATACTCATAACTGACCTTGCACAGCCTGTGCCAATTGCAACCTCTGCTGCTCCATGGCGTACATGGCCATCTGCGCTTGCGCCTGAGCCAATGGATCCATGCCCAATTGATGTTGAAGCATCTGATGATGTGCTGCTGCCATCGAAGTTGGCACTTGCTGCTGAGCCATCGCAGCGGCCTGCTGTTGTTGAAGCTGGAGCAACAATTGAGGGTTCTGTTGAAGCTGTTGGTGCTGCTGCTGTTGCTGGGCGAGAAGAAGCTGTTGTAGCTGAAGAGCTTGAAGATTGATGGCGGCCGCTGCGGATGTCGGTGGCATGATGAGTTGTTGTGGATGGCGTGGCACGAGGAGCTGTTGAGCGGCGAGTTGTTGTTGGAGAAGTGCTCGTTGGAGGTTTTGTTGTTGTTGCTGGGCGACGAGCAGGTTTTGGGCAGCTGAAATTGGGTCCACTGCGATGGCTGGAAAAATGGGATTTTTAGAATATTTCAAGGGTTTGGGGTATATTGAAAATTGTTGGTGGTCGTGGCCGGAGCTACAGTAACCTTAAAATATTTGTATTTTCCTGATTTTTTCTCGGTTTTTCGTTTGGAAAAATCAGAAAAAAATCGAGTAAATATAAATATTTTAAGATTACGGTAGTTGTCGTTGTGGGACCTTTTTCCTCAATTTTCCATGATTTCGCATCGGGTTTACTCGCGTTTCCAAATTTTCCAAATTTTCAAAATTACGAAAAAGCGTTTAAAGGCGCATGACATACTGCAAAGATTAATGTATTCTCTGTTTTTGAACGCTGTGCTTTTAACTGAATTTTAAGCTCAAAAACTTCGAATCTGGATCAGTTCTAGGAAAGCATGTCATCATGAAGAAATCAAATCAGAAAACCAAATTTTGAAAAACAACTTTTTTTTTAAATTTTACTGATTTTCAGTGATTTTCAGCACTTTTTTCACTATAATGTTTTCAGAATTTTTCCGAATTTTCGAAAAATAAAAAATCACAAAAAAACACAAACCTGGCATCAAGGGCTTCGCCTTCTTCGTGTGCACTCTCTGTGTGGCCATGTTCACCTCGACGCGTCGTCCCTCAATGATGGATCCGTGAATTTCGTTGCGCGCGCGATCCGCGTCCTCTGGATTCTGCATCGTCACGAAGCCAAAGCCCTGGAATATGAATTTGACTTTCGTATACTTTTTTTGTCGTCAGCTTCAATGTTTTGTACGCAAAATCCCTCTCGTGATTATAGCCTTGAAGACGGGCGAAAGCAATGTTTGTACTTTCGCTTTCCCCGCCCCTTGAGAGGGTGTCTGGTGTGTTTTATAGGGGTGAAGTGTAATGTTTGGAAATTTGGGAATCCCAAATTGGAATTTTTGAAGGCGTCGCGTGTCGGCGTTGCGGCTTTTTGAAAATTCAGACCGCCTAACATAATTTATAGGACTTCCAAAACCTCGAATTCAGGCCAATTTCAGACGCGTCGCGTGTCGGCGTAGCGGTCGCCAATTTCAAATTCAGCCCACCTTTGATCCTCTCTCATTGAATATGATCTCCACATCGACGACGGTACCGTACTTTTCGAACATCGTCTGAAGATCCGGTTCCCGGTACTTGAACGGGATGTTCGACACATGCAGACGACGATTGCCTTCTGTGGTTTCGGCTGGAAACATGGGGATTTTCAGATTTTGAAACTATTTCAATTTTTTTGAATTTGGAAACGTCCTATCCTAGACTTTTTAAACCTAAAGACTTGAAGGATCAGCTCAAAAATTCAAATTTTAACCTTGTTCAGTGGAGCGCGTTTGCTGAATTTTTTCTTTCAAAATTTTTCGAAATTTCGGATTTTTTCAAGATGGAAAATCGAGAAATCAGGAATTTTCCGAATTTAGCCTGGAATTGTTGTAAAAATTCTTTAGATTTTAGTTGAGAAAAATACAAAATTCTTTAAAAATCGAAAATTTTTAGAAAACCTCCTTTTCTAATTATTTGAGCATTTCGAAAATTATTGTAAAAATTGCTGAAAAGCGAGAGGAAAATTGGGAAAGTGGGCGAAGTCAGTGGGCGGAGCCTAAATTGTAAGCTGCGCACGGTTTTCATGCACAAAATCCTGCATAAATTTTAGGCTCCGCCCACTTTTCCCGAGTTTTTTTTCCGATTTTCAGCGATTTTTATCTATTTTCGTCATTTGTTTTTCGAAAATTTTTTTAAAAAGATTTTCTTCTAAATTTTCGATTTTTCATTAAAAATTGGTATTACAAGCTCGCTCTGCTGGACGCGGAGAGCTTGCAGTTCAAAATTTGAAGCTAGGGAATCCATGTGGCCGCCAAATTTCTCGGCCACTTTCAACCTCATCTTTCGAGCTTTTTTCAAAGAATTTCACCTAGAAAAATGAAGAAAAAAGGGTCAATATATATATGTGTGTGTGTGTGGGTGAAAAATTCGCATTCCACAAAATGGGTTAGAATTCTAAAAGGACGAGATGAAAAAAGGACCACCAAGATCGGCACTAAAAAATAAGAGGCACAAAAAATTAATAATTTTCAGTCATCACAAAAACCACCGGCCGCGGCGCGCCATGCTTGGAATATTACACACAACTGTCTTCATGTGTTCATTTTTGCGATTTTTGGGTCCCGAAACGATTTTTAAGACCTAAAATCGCTCAAAAACGGACAAAGATACGTGCAAAGCTTCCCTTTGTTGCTATTAATGACTCGGCTACGGTTCAAAACGAAGGAAAAAAATTAAAAAATAGGAGAGAAAGAAGTGAAAGACATCATTAGGTGTATTTTTAGTTTTTTGGCTTTCTTACAGCTCGTGCTGCGATCGCCGATCGATGGCGGCGCGATCGGTCCGATTTGAAGTGGTTGCTTCGATGAAGAAGACGTCACTGCCGCTGACGTGGAACCTCCAGAAGGTTCCGACGTCGTCGGCTTCACATCAGACGACGTTGGCTCGATTTGAAGTGGGCGGAGTACGGTGGCTTGTGCGGCGGCGGCAACCATTTGTTGTTGGAGGGCCACTTTATAGTCGAAATCGTCTAATTTCTCCTGCAAAACGAAAAAGCGCAATGTTCATTCCACCATCGGGGTGTCAATATGGGAAAATGAGTGATAAAGTATGGGGACAATTCATGCGGTTCTTGGATTTTTGATGACGTGGCATTTCTTCTGGTACATAAATGATGATATGAGGGGTTTGAAAGCTAAAATTAGGTGTGGCTCGTGCTCAGAAATGGCTCCACTTTGCTAAAAAATTTTAAATGAAATCTTTGACATTTTTGTAATTCCCGCAGTTTTTTTCTCTGGTTTTCGCTGGAATTTTGAGGAAAATCGACGAAATTCGCTTCAAAACGACCTGAAAATCATCAAGAATTGCTAAATTTCTTTCTAGACTACTGTAGATGAGAAAGTCCGCAGAGCGGAGTGTCACTGCGGACCTATGCATCAGATTTGACGCGCATCGAAAATTAATGAATTTTTGGGATTTTTAAAGCGATTTTAGCCGATTTTCGGGTGTTGAAATTCCAATTTTTCGCGTATTTTCTAAATTTTAAGACGAAGTTTTGAAAAAAAAATTGACTTAAAACGCTAAAAGTGCTTTAAAAACAAAAATTCACCTCAAAAATCGCTTCAAAATTACCCGAAATTGAAAAAAAAAAATTTTAAAATTCCTTTTTTCGATTTTTTTTTTTGCAGAAAAATATGAGAAAAACGGTAAAAATCGATGAAAATTCGAATATTTTTAGGTTACGGTAGTTGGAACTTCGGTTTCGCCAAAAAAAGTGGGCGTGGCTTACATCTACACATAGCTTATCAGACACATGCACAACCACACTGAAAAGGGGGGCGGAGCTTAATTAGTGTGTGCGAGATAGAATTCCATAAAATCTCCATATCATTATCATATCATCCATGCACACAGAATGCCACGTGGCAAGAGAGAGAGAGAGAGAGTATAGAAAAACAAGGGAGTTTAGAGAAAAATAACTGAAATTCAGCGGAGACCGCATGCGACTAAGAAAAATCTGTATAGATTTTTCTTCTGGGAGTGCAACGAACACCACAAAAGTCAATAAATGTTAATGTGTGCAGTTTTTTTTGGCTTTCAAGAGAGAGAGAGAGAGATGATGGATAATTGAGAGAGATAGAGAAAGAGAGAGAAAAAAAAATAGATGAATACTTACCACTGCCATCAGCTCGGCGGCTGTTGTCATTTTGTGATTTGGATTTTGATTCTGGAAAATTCAAAGGGTTTTTCGAAAAACAATCGAACGAGTAGAATAAAAAAAGAGCGAAAAATCCGATATCGGATCTCTAGAGAAGGGGAGAGAGTGGCGGATTGTGAGCTGCAGAGTGAGAGGCGCAGAGAAAGAGAGAGCGCACACGCAGCAGGCCGACCCACACACACATACAACAGACACTCAGAGAGCTGCTCACGAGGGGGGTTCGAGTGGAATGGGTAAGTGATGGAGGTGGAAGAGGAGGCGCTGGCTAGGCCACGGACCATCATTAGGGGGGAGGGGGTGTTGGTAATATGAGTCGGAATGGGGTCAAGTGTGATGGTTGATGAGTCAGGCAAACAAGGATTTAGCTCAGGTCTAGATTTTTTCTAGGCCAGTAATTCCTAAAAATTCGGCGAAAAATGTCAAAATCCCACTTTTGATTAAATGTGAATTTTGACAATTTTTCAGAAAAATCGGAAATTCTAGAAAAAATTCTGAAACGTTGAACTTTTCAGAAAAATCGAAAATTTCAGAAAAATGGGAAATTCTCGAAAAATCGGAATTTTCAGAAAAGTAATTTTTAATTAAAATTAGGAATTCGTTTCTATTTTTTTATTTTTTCGAGCATTTTTTTTTGAAAAATATATCAATTGGTTAATATTTTTGCCATTAAAAATATCTGTTTTTGACTCAAAAGGGCCGGAGGTCCCACAACGACAACTACCGTAATCTAAAAAATTGTATTTTCCCGATTTTTTCCTCAATTACAGATTTTCGGCAATTTTTTCAACACAAAATTATTGGTTTTTCGATTTTTTTTTGATAAAAGTATACAATTTTTATGTTGAAAAAATTTTTTCTACTGCTTCAGACCGAAAAATTCTATGAAATGTTAAAAAAATCACCAAAAATCGAAATTCTTAAATTTCGATTTTCTAAGAAATTCAACCAAAACTTCTTATTTTTCTGAAAAATTTCGATTCTTCCGATTAAAAATTTTTTTTGAGAAGTCGCTTCTCAGCCGCTCCGCCGACACGCGACGCGTCCCAAACTTGGCTCGGTGCCAAATTGGGACTCAAAAATCGATTTTGAACAGAAACAAAAACTTCAATCTATGAAAATTTTTCTCCTTTGATTTTCGAAATACGGAGGAAGAACCACTACCAACACTACCACTTCAAAAGTAACACAAAGACAACAGAAGACCTTGAACGGCGCGGCGCCTCAAAATGAGGGTCATTTTGAGGGGAAAAAGACACAGCCAGGAGAGATGAAACGACAGGGAAAAAACAACCAGTTCCCAAAGTTTCCGTATTTTTTTCAAGTTGTGGTACTGTACACCGATTTTTCCTTTTTCTTGTTTTTGAGCGAGAAGAGATCCGAAATTTCGATAAGAACTTTTTGGGTTGTTTTTGATGGAATTGTTTTTCCTAAGAATCTAAGAATCTAAGAATCTAAGAATCTAAGAATCTAAGAATCTAAGAATCTAAGAATCTAAGAATCTAAGAATCTAAGAATCTAAGAATCTAAGAATCTAAGAATCTAAGAATCTAAGAATCTAAGAATCTAAGAATCTTAGAATCTAAGAATCTAAGAATCTAAGAATCTAAGAATCTAAGAATCTAAGAATCTAAGAATCTTAGTATCTAAGAATCTAAGAATCTGGGAATCTAAGAATCTACGAATCTAAGAATCTAAGAATCTAAGAATCTAAGAATCTTAGAATCTAAGAATTTAAGAATCTAAGAATCTAAGAATCTAAGAATCTGGGAATCTAAGAATCTAAGAATCTAAGAATCTAAGAATCTTAGTATCTAAGAATCTAAGAATCTAAGAATCTGGGAATCTAAGAATCTAAGAATCTAAGAATCTAAGAATCTAAGAATCTAAGAATCTAAGAATCTAAGAATCTAAGAATCTAAGAATCTAAGAATCTAAGAATCTAAGAATCTAAGAATCTAAGAATCTAAGAATCTAAGAATCTAAGAATCTAAGAATCTAAGAATCTAAGAATCTTAGAATCTAAGAATCTAAGAATCTAAGAATCTAAGAATCTAAGAATCTAAGAATCTTAGTATCTAAGAATCTAAGAATCTAAGAATCTGGGAATCTAAGAATCTAAGAATCTAAGAATCTAAGAATCTAAGAATCTAAGAATCTTAGAATCTAAGAATCTAAGAATCTAAGAATCTAAGAATCTAAGAATCTAAGAATCTAAGAATCTTAGTATCTAAGAATCTAAGAATCTAAGAATCTGGGAATCTAAGAATCTAAGAATCTAAGAATCTTAGTATCTAAGAATCTAAGAATCTAAGAATCTGGGAATCTAAGAATCTAAGAATCTAAGAATCTAAGAATCTAAGAATCTAAGAATCTAAGAATCTAAGAATCTAAGAATCTAAGAATCTAAGAATCTAAGAATCTAAGAATCTAAGAATCTAAGAATCTAAGAATCTAAGAATCTAAGAATCTAAGAATCTAAGAATCTAAGAATCTAAGAATCTAAGAATCTTAGAATCTAAGAATCTAAGAATCTAAGAATCTAAGAATCTAAGAATCTAAGAATCTTAGTATCTAAGAATCTAAGAATCTAAGAATCTGGGAATCTAAGAATCTAAGAATCTAAGAATCTAAGAATCTAAGAATCTAAGAATCTTAGAATCTAAGAATCTAAGAATCTAAGAATCTAAGAATCTAAGAATCTAAGAATCTAAGAATCTTAGTATCTAAGAATCTAAGAATCTAAGAATCTGGGAATCTAAGAATCTAAGAATCTAAGAATCTTAGTATCTAAGAATCTAAGAATCTAAGAATCTGGGAATCTAAGAATCTAAGAATCTAAGAATCTAAGAATCTAAGAATCTAAGAATCTAAGAATCTAAGAATCTAAGAATCTTAGAATCTAAGAATCTAAGAATCTAAGAATCTTAGAATCTAAGAATTTAAGAATCTAAGAATCTAAGAATCTTAGAATCTAAGAATCTAAGAATCTAAGAATCTTAGAATCTAAGAATCTAAGAATCTAAGAATCTAAGAATCTAAGAATCTGTTGTTGGAAAGTTGAAATCCGGGATCCCAGAATTCCAGAATCCCTAAAAGTTTCTAGAAATTCAAGTTTTCTAGAATGGCCCATGACTCAGCTTTAAATTGGAATTCCAGTTTGAATCAAAAAGTAAAATGTACAACCTAAAGAGATCAACAAAATGGTACCGAATCCGACTGTAGTTGATTTTGGTACCATTCTGTAGATCTTGTTAAGTTCTACATTTCACATTTTGATTCAAACTGAAATTCCAATTTTGAGACAAGATATGCGCCTTAAAAAGTTGACAACTGGATCAGAGACGTATAGGGAAGTATAAGACTGCAAAAAGTGACTGTTAGAGTTTCATATGCTTTTTCTGATTGAAAACATCCCAGAATTCAAAAAAGAAAGAAAAATTCTAGGATTTTCCGACTTTTTGGCCTACAAAACCTCAAAAATCATTTCCTGCGCCCCTGACAAGTATGCATCTATATGTAATGTCATCGAGTTTCCGGGGCTTTTCTCAAATTGCACAATCTCTCAGTGTAGCTCTATACATCCGGTACTTATTCTACTAGCTATGGCTCACCTTAGGAATTTGATATCCCGAATAATAGGTCATATCCATGATGTCTCTGTGGGACAAGCTAAGACGACACTAAATGAGCCAAAAAGGGGCGGGGCATACTTAGCTTGAAAGAAAAGAGGGGCGGGGCTTAGTGCAAATAGACTCTAAGGAGAACTTTGAATTTAGCGCCATATAGGCTTAGGCTTGAACGCCTTTTGATCCTACCACTAGGACAATCGAAAAATGGCGCGAAATTTGAATTTTCAGTTTTCAGAGCCATTAAAAAGGGCTCAAAATTTTGAAAATTCCCCCAATTTTTCTATTTTTTGTGCTTTCTAAAAAAGGACTTGAAACTTCTGAAGGGCCCTTGAAACTAACTAATTCTTGTAGCAAAAAAAAACAAAAAAAAGGGATTATTGGGTCCTTTACTTCCTCTTAGGCCGGTCCAGCACACAAAAAAAGAAATTATTCTATGGGAAAATTAAAAAAAAGAAAGAAAATGGGAAAGAAGAAGAGAGAGGTGGTGGAAGCAGTAGCCCCAACAAAAAAGAATGGAGGAAAATAAAAAGCCGAGGGGGGGGGGGGAAGGGGATGAAATGGAAGACAGATGGTCATAGAGAAGACATGTGGTGGTGGTGGAAAGGAAATGCAATGGATGAATTGGGAGAAAATGAGTTTATAGAAATGGAGAGTGAGAGAGAGAGAGACGCAGAGAAAATGGATTTTCAAATACATATGATGCCGAGTCGACTTTTGTAATTGCTCACATAAAGAGAGAAGTGTGGTTAATGGGGTTGTTTCTATTTTATTGGAATGGGCTGGGGGTACTGTAGGTGGAATGAAAGGGAAGAATCTGGAAAAAATAAAAATTGGAAATTTTGAATAATTTCGCGAATTTTCAGTCTTTTTTCGTGGAGAATCACTGCTTCTCCTCCCTCTGGGACATCCGAAAAATGGCGCCAAATTCAAATTATTCGCTTTCCGGGGTTTTTGTATTTTTGAAAACCCAAAATCTATACTTTCCTTTTCAGTATTTTCCCTGGTACTCAATAACACACATCCTACATTTTTTGTGTACAAATTTGTATTTTTTTTCCCTCAAATCGAACATTTTCTTTGAAAAACTACAAACTACAATTTCGGTTTTTTACAAATACATCAATATTTACCTGAGCTGAAAAAGCTACAATTAGTGTCTGAATTCACTACTTTTCTGAGAAAAAATATAAAAAATGCGAAAAATCGGCGAAAACTACAAAAAATCAGCGAAAAAAAGGAAATAGAATTTTAGCTTACAGTAGGAATTTCAAAGGCGCATGCAAAAGATGCACTAGGTTACTGTAGAAAACTTTGGATGAACAAGGAAAATCGATTTTTCGACGGTGTTTGCTGATTTTTTAATGAAAATTTAACTGAAAATTGAAAATCACAAGTTTCAAGCAAATTTTTGTCTAAAATTTTCAGAAAAAGTACCGAAAAACGATTTTAAAGATCAATTCATTGCCTGCAGTAGGAATTTTAAAGGCGCATGAAAAAACTAGCGAGAGGATACTGTAGAAAAGTTTTGTAGGGGGTACGACGAATTCGAACGTTTTCAAAATCGAACAGACCTAAAGTCGAACTGATTCAAATCAGAACAGTGTCTTTCTCGAACAAGTATCAAAACAGAACAAGGACAAAATCGAACTGTTCTAATTCGAACTGTGCACTGTCGAACTGTCCCAAATTGGAACGCTGTTAGCCGCCGAGCGCGCTTGCATTATTTTTCTTTTCTCGTTGTTTCTTCGCCAA